CCCGAGGAGGCCGCTGACCGCCCCGTCTCTTGTGTTTTTCAGGAGGAACACAGTTTAAAGTGGTGATTAAAGCACTTTCTCCAAAAGAAATCAGCAGGATTCACGCCCCTAAGCCTTTGGATAGGAATGACGGCACATTTCTGATGCGCTATCGGATGTACGGGAGTGTCCGAAAAGGGTTAAAAATCGAGATACTTTATGGGGATAAGCATGTAGCTCGGTCTCCTTACATTTTGAAAGGTAAGAGTGTTATTTGACGTAAAGTAATATTTGTGGATGGATTAATTTGCTGCTATAGACAGAGGTGGGAAATTAGAGGTCACTGTTCGGCCTTTTTCTTTGAGTCTCGGCATAAATGATCTTCTTAGTGATAATTCATACAGAAGGTTACAAGACATACATACAGAAGCATGCAGGTTGTGGTTCCTGGCCTTCTTCCCCTTGCGTAAGGAAATGGATCTGTTCAGATTTTGTAGGGAATAAGAAAAGAGAGAAATACTTATTTTTACCATAATTGTTTCCCTGTGTGATTTATATAAAGCATGATCCTTTATAATAACAAAGACAAATTTCTCCTGCCAAATGACATTTAACTTTTTTCCTCTCCCTAGGCCAGTTTAATTCATTACTACAGGTCATTACTACATATGAACTATCTAAAGGCAGGAAAAATGGAAGTAAATTATTCTTTTACTCCTAATCTGCTTCTATAAATTCCCTCTCTTGCTCTAAAAATGGGGAGCTGTTTAGCAAGGAAGGAAATCTAGTCTGAAGTTACTTTTCCGGAAAGTCTCATTTCTGCTTAACACAATATTTTATTCAGAATGATCACACACACACATATATATATATATATGTACACACACACATATATTTGAATATGTGTGTGTGTAAAATGCCCTAAATACAAACTATTAGGGATTTCTTCAAACTGAAATAAAATTGCCCTGAGTCCTCAAGGTAGTAGTTTGCTTTTCTTTTGCCGGAGCACATTTTGCTGCAGCTATAATGATATGACAGAGACCAGAACTTGTTTTAATAAAGAAAAAAGAAAAAAAAAAAGATATTTTTACACTTTATTTGGCTCTTGCTTAAACCTAAGCTCTCTGACGCAAAAGGACAGAAAAGGTATTTGATTATAGATGGAAGAAAACTCCTTATACCAGGGGAAAGGACAACTGTATCAACTTTCTGCATTAGGTTGAAATTAGCAGGGTAATAGCTGAGCGTTAATGTATGTGGATAGGTAGAATGATTCTTATTGTTCCATGGGGTTGGTAGGTGGTGTAATTATGGAGCTCAGTTTTGCAGACAAACTGCTCTGAAAAACAAAACCCAAACTCATCTGTTTGGGTTTCTGAGGAGAGGAGAAGGCCACAGTTTGCTCGGATACACTCACTAAGCCCCAGAAGCAGAGCAGCAAGGCACCTTCCCCACCTGTTTCCGTAGTGTAGTGGTTATCACGTTCGCCTAACATGCGAAAGGTCCCCGGTTCGAAACCGGGCGGAAACACCCTTTTCCACTGGGGCTCCCCTGTCCTGTGGAGAAGGAGCTGGGCTCTGGTGGCCAAGAGCCAACAAGGAGGCCAAGGGTGCCCTGGGCTGGCTGCATCAGGAGCATTGCCAGCAGCTCGAGGGAGGGGATCCTGCCCCTGCTCGGCTCTGGTGAGTATTGGGTGCTGTTCTGGGCTGCCCAGTGCAAGAGGGAGGTGGAGCTGGTGGAGAGAGTCCAGGGATGCCTGAGGGACTGTCTGCAGCATCTCACATATGGCCAAAGGCTGGCAGAGCTGCTCTGCTTGGAGAACAGAAGACTCAGGGATCTGATCAACAAATTTAATATTCTGAAGCAGGGATGTCCAGAGGATGGGGCCAGGCTCCTGCGTCTGGCAATGGGCATAAAGGTGAAAGGATATCAGTCTGAACCTACGGGACAGCTTCTGTACTCTAAGTGTGATTGAGCACTGGAATAGGCTGTCAAGGTTGGAGTCTCCATCCTTGGGGATATTCCAAAGCTGAGCAGTGTGCTCCAGGCAACCCTGCTCGAGCAGAGGGTTGGACTAGATGATCTCCAGAGGTTCTTCCAGCCTCACAGGCTGTGATTCTATGATAGGAATAGTATAGATGATTTCCCATAAAAACTATTGAACTAAAAACTAGAAATCTGACATTTAAAAATGTAAAGCCACTCTAATTTCTGGATTTGTTTGCCCATGAATTTCGGGACCTAGGATTTATGTGGAACATTCACAACTATAGAGCCTTAGCGCTTTGTTTTCCGCAGGACCAGTTTATCATGAATATTGTGATTGTCCTGAAGAAGACCCTGCGATCTGGCAGAACGTGCTCTCTTGTCCATCCCAAGAACCTCAGGTCACTAAGGACTTCACTTCTTTTCCCACCATTGACCTTCAGCGAATGCTCAGAGAGATCCCAGCGAAGCTCAGTCACACGAGAGGTGCAATCGTCCATTACACTGTTCTCAACAACCGCATCTACCGCCGCCCCCTGGGCAAGTACACGGACTTCAAAATGTTCTCCGATGAAATGCTGCTTTCACTCGCAAGAAAGGTATCAGTTCATGCCATTTACTTGAGACTATTAAATCACACTCTGATATTCATGCCATTTGCTTGAGACTATTAAATCACACTCTGATACGATGCCACTGAACTCACTTTTGTATTTTCAGATTTGTAATTACCGCAGCAAGACTTTACTTTTACTAGTTGGTTAAGGTGACTATTTCTTTAGGGATCACTGTGTAACTAGTGTAGGGGACCTGAACTTGAGACTAAGCATTGATGGGAAGGTTGCGGGAGCTGTGGCCCAGTTCTGCAAACTCTGTGGTTTCCATGTGTGCTCCATTCAACCAACTTGCAGGACGGAAACTTGCCGTCAGTATCTTCCCCTCAGCTAAATTTATAATGTCTACCGGGCTTATTGATTCTGTGAGAGATAGGAGAACTGAACATTATGCTTTATGTAAGATTGATAAACAGCAACGTAATTATACGTTTGTGTTATTATCCTTTCCTGGGTATACGTTTAGGTTCGTCTTCCTGATGTCGAGTTTTATCTTAATGTTGGAGACTGGCCAGTTGAGTATCGCAAAGCCAATGAGACACCTGGTCCTATCCCTGTCATTTCGTGGTGTGGCTCTGTCGAGTCAAGAGACATAGTCCTTCCAACATACGATGTAACTCATTCAACGCTCGAAACCCTGCGTGGTGTCACAAATGATCTGCTTTCTATTCAAGGCAATACAGGTAAATTAGAGGTTATGAATTTAAAAAGACAATTTGTAATTTCATCAAAAATGGGAGCCACGTTTAATAATGTGTCTTCAGTTTCCAAGTGTCTTAGGAGGTCTCCTAATAGAAGCGGTTTAGTCTTTACGGATTCCAAACACTTTTAACACTATCACTAAGCAGGTGTCTATTATAGATTTAAAGCCAAAATTTAGGGAGTCTAGATCATAGGACTGCTGAAATTTGACTTTAAGGTATTTGGAGGATGGATACTGTGATCTGTGACTTGTCAAGTAAAGTAAATATAATCAAAAGGTTCCTCTTCTCAATGAAGGAATTCAATGTGCTACTTTTAATCAATTTGTAATCTTTTTATTGATAGTGATGTGGTCTGTTGTTGCAGCTGTTTACATAAAAATACAAAAATGAGTTTGAATCCTGGAAGAGATAAAGCAGCACTATGTTGTCAAGTAAAACAATACTGTTTGGGAAAAAGAATAGCTTAAAGAGGTCCCCCCTGAGCTACTCTTCTAGCTTTCAAGGAAATGTTGGTTTTACTGACAAGTGTTTTCCCCCTCCCAGGAAATTCATGAATACTTGTAGATCAGTCAAATGCACAGGAGTAGAATTTGCATTTTTTACTTGAATAGATGAGTGTGTCTTATCATACTGTTTTTAAATGCACTGTTTTAATTATCAGTTTGAAGGAGTCTCATTTTAATGATTTATCACAGCTACTTTTCCAATGAAGCCATAACAAGATCCTATTCCCCTTTAGTGGGTCCTTCAAGGAAATTTCCGTCAGAAGCTGGGAAAAGAAAGTATTTAATGTGTTTTAGAGGAGGAAGCAAACAGAGATGAGGTCTGCAAGGCTCTCACAAAGCTTTTTGAGGAAATTGAAAGAGCTCGACCATTTTTTCCCTCTTAAGTCACTATTAAATGACTTCTCAAAGACCTGACAAAATTGCTGGATAACAGAAGGGGATTTTACTGAAGAACTTTTAGTTATTGGGACAGATGTTAAGTATTATTTTAATTAGATCATTTGATTATAATCCCTTATCTAGCTTCCAAGAGATTTAAAGTTTATATTACTTGATCAAATATATAATGAAAATGTCATTACCGTTCCCTTTTGTCTTACTGCTCAATATCTGCAGGCCCTTCTTGGGAAAACAAAACTGAGCGAGCTTTGTTTAGAGGCCGAGACAGTCGAGAAGAACGTCTCTATCTTGTCAAGCTATCCAAGGAAAATCCAGAACTACTAGATGCTGGAATAACTGGATATTTCTTCTTCAGAGAAAAAGAAAAGGACCTGGGAAAGGCTCAGCTCATGGGCTTCTTTGACTTCTTTAAGGTAGTGAGCAAATTACAGTCTCAGATCAATTTTGCTCTCAAATGCATACCAGCTGAAAAGTCTCAACTTAGTTTTGCTAATTCCACTCAGTAAACGAAACAGTTATGCTGCAGGGAGAGCACTGGCTCCTACAAGGTAGATATGGCACCTGTAACTAAAATCAGTGTGACACACTTCTGAAGAAAGCCACCATCCTTGTGTTTTGGAGTCCCACGGATCCCCAGAAATGGAGGGATGATGAGCATTTTGGGATTTTTGGGGAGGAAGGGAGAAAGGAGGGTGGCATAAATATGAAAACACAGGACAATTTGTTTAGGTGCGAGTACATGGTGGGTGTCAGAAAGTCCTTGGGGTAACAAGTTAGAAGACGGTTATTTTTGCTACACTTCAACACACAAATTCCACTGCAACAAAAGTGTGAACTGTAAAGGGGCCAGGGCCCAATAAAGGGCAATTATAGTACATGGCATTTGAAGTTCTGTTCCAGAAACTGATGCATCAGCAATGCTGATGAAGAGATCTGACAGAGCACTGTATTCATGGTTACTTGTAGTATAATGTTTTGCTTATTCCATGTGAGCGAGAATCAGTTCATTCCTTCTGAGTTTATGTATGGTCAGCTCTAGGTTTATTTCCTTCCCAGCACTTGCCCTCGTTCTGTCAGAGAACACTTGAGCGTTCCACGAGGACACTTCAGGAAGTCCACGTGTCCCAGGCTCTTGTCTGTCAGTCTGGGGCTCCAAACACTCCCATGTCCTGTTACGGCATTCGAGACTCTGAAACTCCATCTGCTTATCTCTAAACCAGGCTCGAGATGAGAATTTATATGCATATTTGTAATGATTTCAAGCCTGTGAAAAGGCTTTTACACAGCTCAGTGTTCCTATTTTGATTCAGCAATGTTACCCCTTTCTGTTTCTCTGTATTACAGTACAAATACCAAGTGAACGTGGATGGGACCGTAGCAGCTTACAGGTTTCCCTACCTGCTGCTGGGGGACAGCCTGGTACTGAAGCAGGCCTCGGAGTACTACGAGCACTTCTACGCTGAGCTGCAGCCCTGGAAGCACTATGTGCCCGTGAAGAGGAGCTTAGAAGACTTGCTAGACAAAATAAAGTGGGCGAAGGTAAGTGCCAATTCCAGCTCAAATTCAAAAGGGTAAATACCCATGTGCACAATTTATCTTAATGCTCCCTCTTTTTGTATTTCTACACACATACTTTGCATGAGTGCTGAGTCTGTATCCTGAGGTAACATGGAGTATGTTTTGTTGTTGTTGCTATATGAGGGGGAAGGCCTTAATTTTATAGTTGTGAAAATGCTTAAGAATTAACATTAGACGTGTTCAGGAGTATTCCATGAGTCAGGGTGTTACTACACAGACTAATGCAGATAATTTTCAAAGAAACTCCCTAAATTATAGAGAGTAATTAATTTCTTCCACCACTTTTCTTTGTCCTGACTAGAGTAGAAGGAATCACTGGACATCCTCTTTGAATGTACAAAAAAAGCACTACTCTGTAACATGCTCAGAGTCAGAAGCTGGTATTCTGTAATCAAAGTGATTTTGTATGACTGAAAGCACCATTTGTGCTTTAAATTTAACTGCTAAGTCAAAAGCATTAGAAAATAATTATGTTCTGGGGATACTAAAGTTCTTTATAAAGGATCCCATGAAAATACCTAAAACTTTTAAAGAGCAACTTGTGAGCAAGTGCATACCTGCAAGTGTTCATGCTGACATTACCTACACCTATTTTAAGTGTGAATCAAGCAGAGTTATTTCAAAAGCATCATGAAGTGAGGAAAACACTGAGCTCTGCTCAGGAGAGAGCAACAGCTGCAGCTTTGTATTCTGTGTAACTAAATAGGTGTGGGAGATGTCAGGCCAGCTTGTGAAAAGGCCTGGGACAAAACAGCAGAGCAAACAACGGCTGAGGTTTCAAAACTGTACAAAACCGTAATTAGTGTTAGTGACCCATTCATTCCAGAATTCTGGAATTCAAACAGTGTGCTCTTGCAGTACATAACAAACAACTGTACATAAAATTGCAGATCTGAACGGTTCCCTTAATAAAAAAAAAAATGCTATGCAGGACTAAGTCACTAGTTGCTCAATTACTCATTTCTGTTTCTTTTTGATTTCCAGGAAAATGATGAAGAAGCAAGAAAAATTGCTAAAGAAGGACAACTAATTGCAAGAGAATTGCTTCAGCCTCACAGGCTTTACTGCTACTATTACAAAGTGTTCCAGGTTGCTAGAATAGATCATTTAATTTCTCCCCCTCAGCTACTGTTGCTACACATGCTCCATTTTGCCACTCATTCTTTATTCCAATAGCAGACATTGCTCATGTTATTTACAGGAGAACAGTTAAACAGCTTTGCTAAAACTTGCCTCCTCATCAAAGAGGCAGCAGGATACAATAGTGGTTTTACAGAATTAGAGACTGTTTTTTCAGTGTCCCACTGAATATCTACGCAGTTGTATCACATAACACTGCATATAAGGAAAAGAAATCCTGGATATGACGGACACGGTTGAACAGTCCAGATGATTGTCATTGCTTCCCCAGGAGAAGCAAGTTGCTAAGAAGACTTAATTTTCTGTTCTCTGAAAAGCTAATTCCTTTTGCTATGTTGTTTGGCAGAGTGAAGGTCTTGGCTCCAGCAGCCGCAGGCGACACAGCCTTTGGCACTGTGCAGTGTACACGAATGACAACATTATCTGCACAGAGTGGTTAGAGGCCCCCATAATGACAATATTCAAACTGGCATTAATAATAGGACAGGGGATGATACTAAGGGAGGTGTTCAGAGGCAATGTAGCCTATTAGTAGGTGTGTTACGGAGACACCTTGCAAACAGGGTGTAAACAATGGCACAAGGCGCCTGCATAAAGGCGACCTTCGGAGGAGGAAACTGCTTCCTGAATTATATGTTGATGCTTTCAGCATTCTTAAATGTTGTTTACATATTTCAGAACTACGCCAAACGGCAAGCCAGCAAACCTGAAATACGGGATGGCATGGAGCTCCTACCTCAGCCTGGCGACACGGACTCCACGTGCAGCTGCCACAGGAAAAAGCCTCTAAGGGAAGATCTGTAACCGGATGGAGAAAATCACTCACGATGCAAGAATTTAAATAGGATTTAAGCTGTGAAACCTAAGACACGCACTAGCAAACATTCTTAATTAGGCATTCTGCTGTATTTACCTATTCTTTTCATGCTGACTCTGATCTGCAGCGGTGGTTCCCACAGTTTTGTCTCCGTGACCTCCGCCAGGCAGGTGCTGAGCCTGTGCTGGAGCGTGCGGGACCTGCTCTGCTCTGCTGGGCCGTGGGGACGAGGAGCGCGGTGACCGCGGCTGCACGGGGACCCGACAGCCACAGCCAGGCAGGGCACATTATCCTAGAGGAGCATTCGCAACGTAGCAAAACAGTGTTATGATTCCTCATAAAGTTACCTCAGTGTTACAGCAATTCTTGTATACAAACCCATTTTCTAACTAGACAAATAAAATTTCTATTTGAGATTTACAGATTTCCAACGTGGTTTGGCACTGAGATTACTTTGGCGTGTATGACAGTGTAGAGAATGTGTGATTTAATATTTATCAGTGTCAGAAGAAAATGGAGGGGAGCAAGATCAGAATAATGTTTTTATGAGCATTTTGCAAGCCTTGTGGTGGTGAATCACCTAAACTAAATGTTCCTGCAAAGCAGCCCGTGGAGTTATCACAATTACAGGGCTTTGAGTGCCAAGGTACTGAAAACCTGTTCCCTGCCCTGTCACTGTCCATGGCTGTGAATGTAGGCACCCATCCCCAAAAAAAGGATGCAAAAAGTGTGAGTGGGAGCTGGGTGACATATAAAGGCTGGTCCTATATGTAGCCCACAGGGTACAGCATCGCGGGTTACCCGAGCATTGCTGTGCCTGCAGTCTGGCAGGAAAGCTTTAGAGTACCTGGGTTTTGCCTCTTATGTAAAGCTGAAGATGTCACCAACTTTTTTGCTCTGGTTCGTGAGCTACTTTTTCCCATGCCTAAGTCCCCTAAAGGAGTTTATCCATGTCCTGAATGTATCTCCCACTTACCCAGCCCTGCACTGACCGGATTGCACAGGCAGCAGATCAGCTACCACTGTTTCAGTTCCAACTCATGACAGAAAAGGCTGTGCTGTGTCTTCCATGTAAAGCCTGGGCATGTGAGGCCTTTTGGAGCCAAGGGGCCACCTTCCATTGCTTCCATGACTTTACAATTAATTTCATGATATACACATTATACGACACGGGTTTGATCCTCAGCAGTATGTATGGAAGTGCTGTGCTCAGCAAGGGCAATTAAGCATATTAGAGGGCGGAAACAATAAAGTTTTCCTTCCCATGCACACATACTTCAAATCAAAAGTCCAAAAATTAGGTTTTTATTTTTTTAAATGGTGACGAGATAGGAGAAGGCAAGACAAATACTACATGATTTTTTGCAAATATCTGTATGGGAAAACTTGCCTTGCCTGAAACAAAAGTAAACCTTTCAAATTGGAAGAAAAATATGATGGAATGTATATGGTTATGAATCCAATAAATGTGAGTATTTCATTTCTCCCTTTCCCCTCCTCACAAAAAGGGAAAAAAATATTCTAAACTTGTCTCCCTCCTCCCAGAAATCATTTGCTTTTGTAATAAGAAAATTATTGCTTCCATGCAAAAAACCGAGTTTGTTACAGAAGGCTTCACAGATGCCTTTATAGTTCACAGGCAAAAATAGCCTGAAAAATACAAATAAATACACTCAACTTCCTGCCAAAACTATAAACAACAACAAAAGCAACAACAACAAACAGTAGAGCCTAGATTAAAAACAGAAGAAGAGAGATTAGAAGTGTTTAGTAATTTGAGGAAATCTGGTTTGATTTATAGCTTCAGATTTCCCAAAGATAAAAGAGGGTAAAGCCTCTCCTGTGTCAAATGGCGCTGTCTGCAATTTCAGTTCTAATGATGAGCAATCCTAACTGTCCCTGCAGGCCAGGAATGATGTCAAATGTGTTTTAGTTTGATGACAGGATTGACTCATTGGCCTGCTGTCTTACAGCAATTGCTTAATATTCAATAATACCTGTTTGTACACGTAAAGCGTAACATATACAGTGCACATGACTTTATAAACTACACACATAAACTAGAGTTTCTATTATTGCACTGTAGTTCTTGAAGAGTAAATATCTTGCATACCTAGTGACTGGTGATAATTTAAAAATATACACGTTTCTGATTTTTTGCTATGGTGATTTCAGCTTTTACTGCACAGCGTAGGAATTGCTATACAGAATGAAATCTCCATTTCAAAAAACCTTGGTGAAACTGTCACTGATGCTGCAGACAGGCTGCTTTCTTTGGAGTGGCCTCTCCTGGGGTCCCAGGCCAATATTTTCAAACCCAGCCATATAAAAGTGGTCTGAATTCCCTAAGTGTTGGTCATGCAGAACCTACATGAAAAACTGAAGATCCGAAGAACTTACATTCTTTCAAATTCTTTTACTATTAACAGTTTTGTATAATGAACACTCAGAAAAAAAAAACTTTTATGTTATTTAATCCTCAAATATATTTAGGTAATCACATTTGTAAATACTTACCTTCCATTAATTTCATTCTGAAATGAAAACCAGTAAATAATGATCGATTGGCCATGAAGGAGACGTAAATTCAGTACATTTGCAAACTGCCTTTTTTGAGATTTACTTGAAGATAATTAACATACTCAAGTTCCATGACAGTATTGCATCCAGGTCTGCCTTGTAGATTCATAATTAAAAAAAAAAACAAACTATAAGCAAGCCCGATGGAATGTCAGATTCCAGCATCACTCCCGGGAAGCATACGCCCCACATTTATTACATTAGAAAGTAAATTATTTAGTTAGGGAGAAGAGCTGACAGGGAAAATGTGTATCACCTGTTTGAGCATGTTTGAGAAGCTTGCAAAGAAATGATAATAAATAAAAGACGCCTTACATAAGCCCAGGACATAATCAGCTGCTTTACCACTTCAGGTTTTCGAAGTGTGCAGCAGTGAAGGGCAACGTTTTATTTGAATACATTATTAACTTCCCAAAATGTAACCACAAGAATCTGACTAACAAGGGTATGTGAATACTTGGTTAGCTTTTGTCTTGAGTTGATTATGTAACAAAATCTATAATGTAAAGAGTTATGTCTCTAATTTTGTATTTTGCTTTAAAGGGGTTATCCTGTGTGCCTGTCTGAGGACACCCGAGAGCCACACGCCTTCGTCGTGCCCATCGTGCAGGGGCTGAGAAGTGAGAGGTCCGTCACACGAGCGTGGCTAGCAAGGCAAGGGAAGCACCCTCAGCGCCATATCCATCGCCGCGCTTCCCAGGAGAAACACGTGGATGAGGCAGCGGAGGCCACCAGGATGATTAACAGTCTGGGGCACGCGACGTACGAGAGGAGGCTGAGAAAGTGGCTCTTTTCTGCCTTAGGAAAGGCTGGTGGAAGGATTGCGTTGCTGTCTACCTCTACCTCAATGAAGTGAGTGGAGACAATGCAGCCGGGCTCTTCCCAGAGGTGCCGGGGAAGCTGCAGCGTGGAAAATCCCACTTAGATATGAAAAAGCAAATCACATTAAGACTGGTGAACTACTGGTCAAAAACGTTGCAGACGCTCAGAATTCAGTGCAGCAAGGCCCAGAGCAACCTCGTCCTACTGCACCTGCATGCAGGGAGGGCTGGGACAACGTGACCTCCAGATGTCCCCTCTGACCCGAATTATTCTGTGAACAGCTTCAGTTATACAACAAGCGTTTACCCGTGTTATTGCATAACACAAGGGTAAGAGGACACAGTTCTCGAGTGTCTCCAACAGGCTAAGCAGCTTTCCCCTGTTGGGACTTCTGACAGTATTCATGTGTATGAATTATGATAATATTGATGGGTAATATTGACTAAGTTGTGTCGATATGTTAACGTTAGATGTTAAGGCTATAAAACTATTCAACAGTACTACAGTACACATGTGACCCCATAGACATAAGATATATTGTATTACACGTTTTGACCTACTGCTAAAAACACAGAATAAGCTAGTCTGGATGGAACTTGTTAAATCTGGTCAATTCAATCTATACTTGTAAGATCCTAATTTCCACTATAGCTTTTGCCACACAGACATTTGTTTAATTTGCCACCTTAGGAGCTAATAGCTACTACAAGCCAAAATGATCAAGTCAGCATCTTGCAGGTCTGACACCTGATTTCTTCCTGCGTGTTACTCACGGAATCACAGAATCACAGGAGGGTTGAGGTTGGAGGGGATCTCTAGAGATCATCTAGTCCAACCCCCTGCTCCAGCAGGGACACCTAGAGCACATGGCACAGGGTGGCATCCAGGCGGGTTTGGAAGATCTCCAGAGAAGGAGACTCCACAGCCTCTCTGGGCAGCCTGTTCCAGGGCTCTGGCACCCTCACAGGAAAGAAGTTCTTCCTCACATGGAGATGGAACTTCCTGTGTTTTAATTTATACCCATCACCCCTCATCCTGACACTGGCCACCACAGAGAAGAATTGGGACCATCCTCCCTACATTCTCCCCTCAGATACTCAAACATGTTGATCAGATCCCCTCTCAGCCTTCTGTTTTCCAGGCTAAACAGGCCCAGCTTGCTTAGTCTTTCCTCATATGATAGATGCTCCAGGCCCTTCATCATTTTATCGCTCTACGCTGGACCCTGTCTAGAAACTCCACGTCCCTCTTGTCCTGGGGAGCCCAGAACTGCACCCAATGCTCCAGCTACTCATGCCAAAGTTTTCACTGTTGTAATAGACATTCAAACATGGCATTAACTTTGCCATGAAAGTAACCTTGTTAAATTTTTGCTGACATAGACAAAATGGGTTAGCCTGGAAATTGTTTTTGCTCCTAAGCGATGAAGCCTTTCTGGGCAAATCCTGGCTGTCACCTCCCAGGAAAGGTAATTTAGGCAGTGGTGTTCATTTCATTTGATGAAATGATATATCTGTAAAATAAAATAAAATAAAGCCCCAAACCAGCCAGAGAATGCTCTGCTGATAAATGTTGCTGCCTTTTTTTTAAGGAAAGTTTGACATTACCGTATACTGGTAAATTTTATTTTTAGTGAATACAGAGCATGAAGTGAACTTTATAATCAAAA